CAAGTGCCAGAATACTATAAGAATTTATGATGTCATACTGAACCTGCACCTTTTCTACTAATCTTGTGATTGGTCTGAATTAGAATTCTTCTTTACATAAAGCACATCTTTCATTGTGTATTGGAAACTGCTGAGAATACAGTCAACTCTTACATTAATAAAAACAACCTTTTACACCCTGATGAAATCAAACAGTTAAAGCTCAGTTGTTGCTCGGCAACAACAAAAAAAACATGTATAAGGATATGATGTCAAACTAATGCTAATTTTTACAAACAACGTGCCAAATATAACTATAAAACAAATGATTGGATAAGCCAGATAAATCTTTATTCGTGTGAAGGGTAAAACTGCCCCTCCTGCCCTGTATCACAAATGTTTTGAAGTAAACCTTAATGAAACCCCTGAAATGTAGATATTTAAAAGTTTTGACTGAAACTTACAAAGGTTTTCTTCTGTTGAGGGACCCTCCTCACTGATGGTTTTATCATCACATTCAATTTCACTTGCATCTTTTCCTGAGAAAAATAATACAACAATTCTAACAAGCAACCAAACAAACACTGAGTTTCTATAAACATATTTCCAAGGACTCATTACTAAATATGGAACAAATTCCTTGACTTCATTCTGACTTATCTAGACCACCTCTTGTTACTAGCTAAATAATTAGAGTTCACAGGATTATAAAAAAAAGACATAAATTATGAAGAAAGTTAAACCTAAAATATCATATACAGTTTTTAATCATTTATAGCTTCTGAAAATGTATTTAAAAATGAAACTTTCAAGACATTTTAAAGCCAAGATAGTATATTTATACAGTAAAAACATATTCTTGCAAAGTTTTTATTTTCAATAATTCCTAGTTCTAGGTCTATAATGTAATATTACATGAAAACGAAATTAAACAGAAAAATCCTTGCATGATAAAACACTAACTGTTTAATGTCTTAAATGTCTCAATATTTTCATGTTCAAAGGCAAACAAGAAAGACAATTACCATTTTCAGAGCCCTCTTCTTTACAACCATCATTTTCAACTTCACTGTATGTAGAATTTCTGTTGTCTTTTTTCTGCTTTTGCTCGAGTTTTGCAACTTTCTTTGTTTTTTCTGTTTTGAAAACAATAACCAATTCACAAAATAGAATACAAAACTACATAAACATAAATGAATAATGCAGCTGAAATAACAATATCAAATGATAAGCTAATGCAGCTGAAATAACAATATCAAATAGTAAGCTAATGCAGCTGAAATAACAATATCAAATAGCAAGCTAACGCAAAAAATTTGTCAGATTTTCTTACACCTAAATATAAATCTTCCCTTCCTTCAATCCATTTATTGTTTCTAAAGTTCCTCTGAGATTTTAACAATTACAATGAGATACTCAAGAGTGGTAAAAGTTCCCACCATATAAAGAAAAATAGGCTTGAGTTCCTCTGTAACAAGTAGATAATGCAGTACTGACTGTAAACCGTACAGTTACAGCTAAGATTCCAAGTATTTCCAGTGTTCCACACATTTTTACAGTTGCAAGAAAAACATCCTCTTTCAAAGATAAGGGCAAAAAAAATCAGTATAGTAGTCTTATTAAGAGGTTATAAAGACATTTGCATACCAGGTCTACCAACCCTTTGACCTGCTGTATACAGACTGTTATCATGTATAACCAAACCAGTCAAGCCATGGACAAACTGCCACACACTTATGTGAGACAGACATTTTGATGTTATTCATATTGTGATCAATAATATTACCATGTAGTGTTTCATTATGTCAGATGGTTAAAAAAAAAAAATACATTGTATTTTAGGATGCCCTACATCAACATGCCCAATGTCTACCAGGCAGGAATTTGGAAAACCAGCAACAAAACACAGCAGATGGTACTTTCTGGACCAAGGTGGACAAATCCTAGATGCCAATCTGGAGAGCAGTTCCTGAGGTTTGTATAGTCTTTAGGGAGATAATCAATTGCATCTGCAAAAGACACTGTCCCAACTGAAACAGAAGCAAAGCAATTGTGCATCTCTTTGAAAGTGCAAATGTCATGTGCAGCAGAAAGACACTGAGAACATTGCAGATACAAATGTAACAAATAACATAATATCACAAAAACAATGTGAACACTGATATAAGCAATGTGGATGTTTGAGGTCAAGAACTCAAAAGAATAAACCTTTATTAACAACTTTTTCACTAAGTCCAGATTGTAGGTTTAACTGTACTTATTCTAGACATAATAAATGTATTGAATCCTGATTATCCAAGACAGATATGAATGTGTAGTTCTAATTATCTGAAAAAGACATGAATGTGTAGCTTTAATTCTCCAAGAAATATTAACCAGCCATTAGTTTTATCATTCATGATTAATATAAAGGTTTTGTCCTTACCACTCATAACTGATACGAATTTGTATTTTACTTATTTATTATAGACAAAAACATGATATTCGATTAGTGAAATTAAATAAAAAAAAATAGTGGCATGATAAAACACTCACATGCTTGGATGTGGTCACTATTTTCATGTTCAAAAGCAAATAAATGACTGTTACCATTTTCAGAGTCCTCTTCTTTACAATCATCATTTTCAACTTTGAGATCTGAAGAATTTCTATCGTCTTCTTTCTGTTTTTTCTCTAGTTTTACAACTTTCTTTCTTTTCTCTGTTGTGAATACAATTATTAATTACTAATTCATAAAAAATACAAAACTACATAAGCATTGTAACAAATTTATTATTATATAGTTATTTTAATATCAACATTTGTTTAGATTAAGTTTATATTTAGAAATATGCATAGCTTATAGTGTTAAATATGTATTGCGAAACTCCCATCTAGTCTCCAAAGTTGTAAAAGATTCTCGAGAGTAAGAATCAACAAGCAAGAATGAACATATAGTAATATATATCAAATAATTCAATCACAATTGAGTTTAATTTATCCTATTTTTGTCTGTTAACATTCTACTACACTATGTGCCTGTGCTATTATGTAGGGATGATGCAAATGCCATCCCTACTATTTTGTTTGCATTGTTTTTGAAGGCTTGATTTTATCCATTCCTACATTTACTTCCTTTTTTGAAAAGTTTTTCCTTTACACATACAGCTAATATCTCATGCTACTGTTGAAACATTTTTGCAAATAAACCAAACTGCCTTTGAATGAAACCTGCATGTAATAATGTGTATTGCACCAGCTTATAATGCAATAATATTAGACTATACTCCTCCATCAATAGGAGGGCAACACACTCTACATGCACAGTACTCTCCTTGAAGACACTGTGTATATCAAAAGCTCATTCTTGATGAGGCAAAAAAGAAACATCAAAAGTGAGAAAGCAGGGTAGATGATTCTATGAAGAGGTAAGTATCTATCTCAAAAACATCTTCAGGTAAGAAAAATGTTAACTTCAGAAACACTACTAACCCTCTCCATAAAGGGACTGTTGTAGAGAAAAACATTAAAAAGATGAGTTCCTTTTTGAGTATATAGCAACAGAAAGGGAAAACTCATGATCTTCATCTAAAACATGTGGTAATTCATAAAAGTACTATCAAAAGAATTTCTTGAATGGTGTATAAGCAATGAAAAAGGTGAGAACCAGCCTCTATATTTCAGGATGTCAACAGACCATGTACATGTACTGCAGCTAGGGCAATAAGACAAGCCATACAGTACATACTTACATGACATACAAGAATATGCAGGTACAAGCATGAATCATTCCAGAGCTGTGTTCTGACAAGAGCACAAAACCCATCCAGCTGATCACAACCATCCAGAATAGTCTAATTCTGTATTACACTTTCAGGTATGTACTGCTGTCTATGATGATGACCCCTTCCTACTTCCAATCAAGGGGCACATTCACTCAGTCTCATACCAGTGGGATTATACTGATCCATATCAACCTTCTCAATGTCTTTGTACTAGGGAAGCAAAGGTTTTCCCAATCCACCAGAACAAAATAGGAGCAGTCTGTTGCAAATAGTGTGGGGGGTGTAAGGCAAACATATTATGCCTCCCACAACTGAGAAGAAAATATGTCTTAAGAGAAAGGTGATACACAGAATAGATGGCCAAATGTTTGAATGGAAGATATGTAACAGCTCTGAGAACTAAACAGATGTTCCAGTACAGAAGAGGAAGATGACTAATGAAAAAGGCTAGGAAGAGGTCCATAAGAACCAGAGAAAGAAAAAGAGAATTACTAGGGAAAAGAAAGGAGGTCATCATACAGTCACTCTTTAACTGGCAATTGTATAAACAGATAGACTACCCTTGTAAAGTAAGGTTAAAAAAATGGAAGTGAGATGAAAAACAGTTGGACATCCTGAAGGAAGAGTGATGAATGGACCAAAATTGAGAAATAATCCACTTGCAAAGACAAACTGCAAAGATGAATGGCTGAACAGCGTGATCAAGAAACACTGCAAGACTTGCAAGGGACAGGACAAAAGCTATATGTGAAAGTGAAGCCATGGAACATTATAGTGAAAGATGGACATGCAAAAATGACATCAAATGAGACTTCCAATGTGAAAGAGATAGAGGTTCCAGGATCATGAAAAGGCAAAGGAGCAGAAACCATAATTCAGGTAGCTAAAGAAGAGCAGCGAGATGAACCTGGTAAAGGGTGCTACAAATTAAAGACAGTACCTTGGGAAGAAGTTAAAAAGGAAGATAGGTATACAGAAAGAGGATGAATCAATACAAACTCTGAGAGAATAAAAAAAAGGCCACACAGTCTAGGGATGGTAATCAAAAATATGGAAGCTTGGTGTAGAGGTGTAAACCAAAAATGCATCAATAACAAGACTCCTAAAGTGGGAACACATACACAGTTATACTAGTAGATGTAAGGATCATTCTGTCAGAAGGATTCAGTCTTGGTGAAAAAACTTCACCTTATGAATATGGGTGGGTCGAAGTGAGAATGTCATGACCTTTTTTACCAAGTTACATTCAAAAATTTAATAAAATCCCTTTATTACCAATGTATGTTAATAAATTTAGTATCAAAATCTAGTATATAATTTGAACTTTTATACTATCTAAGCTGTGGTTTCTTAATTTCAAAAGGAAATATTTAAATATATTCTCAATCTTGACTTGTGTGTATCATGTGACATATTGCACTCCGATTTGCCCATTTTAGATTTTCTTTCCACCCTTATATGATTTTCTGAGTTTCCAACTACAAGTCAGAATATAAACTTACAACCTCCGTTTTTCTTGCTTTACCAAGATATAAACAAGATATGTCAAACCTCTATGACATGCCCCTTCCATATCATTCTGTCTTTCAAAAGATATCAATAATTCTCTATGAAGTTTGTATTGGATTATTTGTAACTAACATAAATAGCAGCTTTTTTCTTTACAAGATTCCTTATACAGGTAATTTTGTTTTAGTGCTTGTAAGTAGATATTTAACCTCAGTTTCATTGTTTGCCATCGTAGTGTCCAGCTTGACCAGCCAGAGAATTTTTTGTTCTATTTCTAACTTAGTTGACATCTCTATAAATTATATTAGTGTTAAGAAAGTTAACATTTTCGATAGATATTTACCTCCCTCACATAATAGCGTTTCCAATTCAGTGCTGCCCTCCATATACATAATTTTCTCTTTTCACTACCTTTGAAACTCCCACCTACTATCATGCATTTTTGCATGATATTGCAGTGCTATTGGATGCAAATGAGCATGCAACAACCCTCCACCAATAGCAATGCAACACACCCTCCTAGCATAGCTGACTCCCTCTAAACTGATTGTTTAGTCATCATTTCGAGATTAGGCAAGAAAAAGTGCACCAGAAGTGGGGAGGGAGAGTGGGAAGCATAAGTGGAGATAAGTATCTATTGGAAATACATTTTCAGTGCTGGAAAATGTTAACTTCTGATACCAAACCATACCTCTACTTATATAATAGCTACAATCCCACATTGAAGTGTGGAACGACTGGTGCATAAGTTATTCAGAAGAGCCCCCTTTAGAAAGCACCCAAAGGGAACCCATGGAGTGTGATACACCATACCCTGGAAATGAACAGGGGTACACCTGTTGGAGACTGCAACTCTTCTGGGCCAAGGTACACTCTTCACCCATAGTGAAGGTATGTGTCATTAATTTGGGCAAAAAAAAAGCACAGCCTAGATAGAATCTGATTATGGAACACAGACATGCCAACTGGTGTAGTGTGGTTAGAGCATGTCAGACCATACATTGTGGGTCAATTACAGTCCAAGACCAGGCATTATTGGGTATTTATATTTCTTTACATCCATTCTGAGGTAGAAGGAGGGTCCTGAAGGGAAATGTAACTGCCATTCTGACAATTGAGAGAGTGCTCATGTGTGCTGTACCAACACACATCTAACACCAGGCCACCTGACATATGGACAATGGGGGAAAACATATGTAGTTGGTCAACTCCAGTCCAAAATCATGGTAACATTCCAGTTTCAAATCCAACATTAAACAACAGTAGATATTAACGACATTCAAACAGGTAGTAACATACCAATGTCAAAGACCAACATTAAACAACAATATATATTAACAACATTTTAACAGGTAGTAACATACCAGTGTCAAAGAAAAACATTAAACAACAATAGATATTAAAGACATTTAAACAGGTAGTAACATACCAGTGTCAAAGAAAAACATTAAACAACAGTAGATATTAAAGACATTTAAACAGGTAGTAACACACAAGTGTCAAAGAAAA